TCATTATTCTCACAATCTGATAAGATTTTTTTTTTTTGCTTTTTTAATGAATCTGGAAGAATCAGAAGGGTTTTCACAATTTGATAAGATTTTTTTCCACTTTGTAGTATGGAACTTGAAGAATTAAAACTTAGAAGTCAGAAAGGTTTGCGAATAAAGATTACACTATACATAGATATGGAGTGTGTCTACTTAAGATAAAGGACCCAGAATAATATTCAAACCAAAATAAACTGAGCCGAGATTACAAAAATCTAACTGAATCAAATTTATTTCAATTCATTTTTGGTTAATATTTTCATCAAAATGAAAATTAAAAAATCGAACCGAATTTTGCAAACCAAACATAATCGAATTGATTGAATGTTCAACCCTACCTGCAAGCCAATAAGTTGTTGAAGAAGTTTGAAACACGAGTTTCTGATTCTATAGGGCGAATTCTAATGGACGTGGAATAAAATTTCATGTGTTTTGATCCTCCTTATGCTGAAAGCCCCCCCCTCCCGTGTTCCTAAGCTTCGAGCAGGTTCAGATTTATTTTTTAGAAATCCTCGTCTATTTTACCAATGAAAAGTGGGAGATTTTTTTTGTTAAAATTGTATTTTTTAGGGTCTGTTCCCGCCAGTCCCGCTTAGAGGTCATGCAACCTTTATATCGATGACACCGTAGAGGAAATATTTCCGCTATGACGGACTGGCGTCAGTCTGAATCAAATTTAAAATCCAAAATCTTCATCCAATTTAAATTGATGGTGTATTTCAATTTTTTTGAAATTCTGCACGAGGTGCCTTTCAATGAAGAAATAAGTCGTTATAAAAGATATTAATTTACTTATCGTTCGTCCCTGAATGATTATTAGGACGAAAGGAAAAAGAAATTGATCGCAAAACTGTCATTTGATTTTTGACAAAACCACAAGAGTAATTAATTTTTACACGAATCATAAAATGTTACAATATCCCAAGTATACCAAACCCTTGCTAATAATCGGGTTAGAGAATTAGACGAACGAAGCAACAAAATATTTTCACTCCCACAGACCTGTTATGGTGTCCATCAAGCTCATCTAAAGCTTTCATGTGATTCATGTTATTCATGTCGTTATCAATAAGGAAAAAGGAGTAGAAACTGCAAGATATCATCATTGTCGTCACCTAAAAAATATCACTGATCCTGCAATCAGATCATGCAAGTGACATAACAAGAGTAGTGTCGATACAAACAACACATACTAATAGGCCTCATCGATCGGTTCTAATCCACCACATAATGACATGTAAATAATTAGAAGAAAACGTAAGACTTAAACTATTAATTTCTAACCCTTTATCCATCGTATTTACTATCGAGTACTACCACTTTGGATTACATATTATATCCTAAGTTACCCACCTCATTTCACTGCCATTTCTCCGACTAAGAGTCATTTTCCTTCGCAATTGATTATCACTTAACTCTTCTAACACATATTGACTTTTCAAACCACCAATTCAGCTAACACATGAGTCTTTCCTACTGAATCCATTCCTAATCTCAAATCCACCAACTAATTCTATTAACCAACACAACTCTTACTTATTTTACTTATCTCAACTCCCACATGATTCAATTCCCTCAAGTAATCTGAACAAGCCAAAAGTTCTTGAAACATCATCTACGGTATCTAACAAGCAATATCGACCTATACAAAAAATATCTCAGCCTTTAAATGCACCAATTCGACCACTCAGGGACCGAATTTGATAAACACAATGTAATACAAAAATTCGGTGCACTCATTAAACCAATACACAAAGGACAATCAAATATGCACCCGACGTGGTACTCGAGTTAAACGTTAGTAAACTGTACCAGCGTAGTATTAGAGACAATCATATAGATATTTCATACCAGGCATGATACTCGAGCCAATCGAATATGCACCAAGCATGGTTTCACGTCATTCAAGAGATATCAATGTACCATACGTGATATCTGAGTCAATCGACAATCACATATCACAATCATAATCACAATTACAATACATAAATTTACAGTTATACACCTAAGTAAACATATTTATTACATGAGACTGAAACAAGCTAACATCTCATTTATACTCCTTCCACTCCCTAGCCATATATTATATAGATAATAATAATGAGAAGTTAACAAACATATATAACATGAATGGAAAATAAAATAACCATTACCTACTCTAAAAGATTCCTTTCCGACCATCTCCAACTTATAATTCGATTACCCAGAATTCACCTTCCCCGGGATAACACCCAACAATCATTATAAGGTCAACATTAGCTAATAAAGTTAATTACTATCTCAACAAAATAATTAACAACACATTTAACCATCCACACATTGTGGCTGAAGGCCTATACGTGTAATCTCCTGACAACTTACATGGTATTATATAATTAAAGACAACTCTAACTACTCAATTAAGTCTAGCTTACGGGGATGCCAAGCAACTGTTGAAGAAGTCTGAAACACGAGCTTCTAACTTCGCGAGGGCTAATTGGTGTAGATCAGAATTCATGGATTTCGATCCTACTTGCACTAAAATCCCCCCCCCCCCCCCTCTCCCTCTTCCTCATATG